ACTTCACTGTCCCCTTCTACTTCTTCCCACAAGAGTGGCTGAGAGAAGTCTTTATCCTCTCTTGAACAACTTTCAAGGAGCCCAAGGATGCCTTGCACATGGTGGACACTTGATAAATATTTGCTAAACAAGTGAATTGTTATATGTGTATATAACCAGTTCACTCTTCCCATGTCTCTTCTTACTCATGGGAGGTTTTAAGAATAGACTCTGTTTCAGAATTATACAATCAGACCAATTACACATATTTATGATTGGATGCTAAGATTAATTGTTATAAATTCCAATCTTACTGCTTCCTAGAATAGCTTGTCATAAGATCAGAGTGATCATCATGAAGCTGTGATTCAATCAAAACAGCGTGGAGTCAGAGTCTGGCCCTTACTCAATAATCCATGAGGGATATCTACAAAAAACAGGATAAGGAAGCTGAGATTGGCAAGGGGAGGTGTAGTGTTTTAGTAACAGGGTCAGAGAAGGCTTCTTTGTTGGGGAGCAAATGAGTAGAGACCCAAATGAAGTGTGACCTCTGCTGCCTTTTCACACAGTATGCACTATAAGGTCATTAACCTATTATCAGGCTCCATTTTATCTGTTATCTTTCAATTAGATGGTTCTCCTATCTCCCTCAAGATCCTATTCTGGCAAAAAAACATAGCTCCAGGCGTGGGTACCTGTGGTTTAACCTACTTTCATGTTCTGTCTTCTTAATGATTTGAGTTTGTCGTTCCCTCCCTCAGTCATGGAGGTAGTCATGCTGACCTGTAGACTAGTCTCACAGCACCCTCAGCAGGGATATTAGGAAATAAGTAAGTGAACTTAAAGTATGATCCCAAAAGACTCACATGAGTGTAATGATTACAAGAAAATGTATAAAATGTTTTCTTGATCAAGGTCATTGATAGATGACATAGGAAGAAGGCAAAGTCACATTTCAATGACTTCATGTTTCTGTCCAAGGGCAGCTTGGACCATGTTGATTTCATACATCTTGTGTGGAATGGCATCCTCACTGTGGGACTCTGACTGCCCATCCAGAGTTAGAGGCAAGAAAAATAGGACAGAAACAAACTGGGTAGCTCAAACAGGCAACACTTTCCCAAGAAAAAAGTTATTTAAAAACTAAGATGATCAGATTTTAAACTAGTTTGGGTCTAAAGCAGAAGGGAATGTCTACACAGAGCTCCACAGAGGCATGTCATTTCTTTTCTGAAGTGGGCAATTTTAAGATTAGCTAGGACAAGACAAGTAAGCTAATATATTTCAATAGTTCTAACCAATAAATATTTGTTTAGCACCTGCTGTGTTAGGAGACCTTTTATTAGTGAGGGGCTCGCAATCTAGTGAGAGAAGATAAACCTGATAGCAAAATGCAGGAAGAGCTATTACCTTATCTCTCTTCTAGCTTAGGAGTCTAGGAAAACTTCCCAGCTTTGCTTATGATTCCAAACAGCAAGCACAAGTTCCAGGTTTCTTAGCCCACAAGTCTGCTGGTATACACGACATCTAAATGTAGATCTTGAAATTTTCATGGTCTATTTCTAAGCCTGTTGCCATTAGTAGAGGCTCCCTCTGCCCACCTCCTCAAACACTTTCCCAACAACAACCTCCTCCCCCAACCAAAGCCAAACTACCATACCCTCTCTTTGATTGTAAAATTTCTAGTGAGAAATGAGATTTACTGTTAGCTAAGCTTCTTCCCAACCTATGTTCAGGGACTCTACTTAATCAATTACCTTTGTTCGACTAGATAATTTTCTTTAAGTTTCCTCTGTAATTTTCAGAACTAGAGGTGCTTAAAAGTGACCAAGTTGTTGGCTCTCTTTGTATCTCCAAACTTAAAGGAGAGTGCTGTATTTGCTTTCCCAAGCAAGTTGAGAATTGACATCTTCATGATATTGATTCTGCTAAGAGGAAGATGGTATACCTTTCCAAGTATTCATCCCAGACCATGATTCCTGACTTGTAGGATTTCCTTCCAAGCATCAATGATTATGTGTGGCAAGACAATAAGGACATCTACATGATTTATTACTCGTATTTTCCAACATTGAAGTCAGCTTGGGAAGCAATAACTTGGCAGGACTCATAAGGTCTGTTTCCCTCCCTTTGATGCACAGGTTCTAGGTAACTCTTATACTTGTCATACCCTTTAACTTTATGATATCATTCTTCTTCTCCATGGCAAACCACCCCCTAAATCCTGCCTAGATCTCACTTACCTCAAAGTGGAAGGAACAGATATTTCTGACTCTGTCTCTAATAAATGTTTATTTCATTTGCATGTGGTTTTCTCATTATGGGGCTATTACAATAAGGAGTTGGTACTAGGGCTGGGGTGACTAAGGGTTGAGTTTGTTTAGTGTGATTTTGACAGATCCTTAACTCAGCTTGGTCTGTTCTTAACTATTGTTACTAATGTATATGAATGATTCTAGATCCTGCCTACCTTGTTTTATCTATTTTCCCTAAGTTCTGACTGGTTGGCACAGTGCCACCTGGATTTGTTTATTCAACTCTTTCTATTTATACAGTCTGGTGTTAAATTACGATTTCTATTATATAGATGTCCCCCCTGACGTCTTCCCACAAATTGCTGGCCATCTGTGATTCACTCTAGTGCATACTCTATATTGTTACACCCAAATGTAATTGAATTAACAATCTGAACAAATGCCATACTTTAATATGGCCAAACATAATTACAGTAATAATTTAAGGCTATTCCCTTGAAATTTTTAAATAATTAAACTTATGACATATTCAAATAATTTGACTCTGTTAATAGGTGCATAGTGTAGTAGAAAAAGCCCTGCTCAAGGAGTCAGTCAGGCTTGTATTTGACTTTTACCTCTGGCAGTTATTATCTGTTGCTTTGGAAATTTAGACATATTTCTTAAATGTTTTTGAGCCTTGGTAATATCTTCTGTAATGGAGAAGAATAACAGATACTTTGTGCATTGGAACTGAATGGGAAATATATGTGAGAGCACCTTAGTGCCTGACATTGCAGCTAGTATATACAGGCATTTGGGTGCATGGATATTGGCATCACCCTAGGCTTTGATTCCTGGAAGTGCTATTCAATTGTTATGTGACCTTGAGAAACCTATTTATCTTCTTTATTTCTCAATGCCCTCCTATAGTAAATGGGGCTAAGTTTTCCTGTCTTATAGGGCTGTTCTATGGATTAAGTAATATGATAAAAGTAAAGTGCTTAGCACACTTTCTAGCAAGTTCGTAAATGTTCAATAAATGTTTGCTCTGTTAATATAAGCTATTTCATAACTATTACTAATATTTGTGCAAGAAGTGAAATTACATATAAATTTGACAAAGGGAAGCTTCTCTCTGTAAAATAAAAAGTAAAAATCCTTTGAAACAAAAACAGTAGATGCTGCATTATATGACTATTAAAAAAAATAGGCTCAATTAAACAGCCTAATCCATGATCATAAGCCATTGTATGAAGAACTTTCAACAAATCTTAGAAAAATCAGCACTGAAAGAGAATCATTGGAGTTTGTTTACTTTTAGTCTTGCATTAAGACGAAACTAGAGACTTGTACGTAGATGATGTTCAAATAATATTTGTAAAAGGAATTCTTTTGTATAGCATGTGGATATTTGAAAGAGTTTTAAAGGAATTTTTCAAAATATATCTTTATTCACCATGGGTTGTGTGTATCAGGATATGATTCTTTTCTTGGCAAAAAAAAAATCCAAACATGTTATCATTCCGTAAATGACCCATGGAAAGACTAATAATGACTATACTTCAAGTGAGATACCATGGTATACAGAAAATGTTTTTACAAAATTATCTGAATATAGATAACTTTTTTCCCTTTTGGGAGCATATTATTTTCCGGGAACATTATTTTTCCATATTTGAACAATAGTGAGATGAATAGATGCTATGTAAAAAACAATCTCAAAACTCTGCTTTATGTAGTCTGAAAACAGGGAAAACCTTTAAAAGACCTCATTATCTCAGCTTTCTGTTCATGAAAAATCACTGTAAAGATTGATACATCTGCTAGTTTTATAAATATTACTTGTTGGTTGCACTTATAGAGAAAAAATGTGTCTTGTAGTAGCATACTGATATCTCTATTCAATACCTTTTCTCTTCCTGACTCTAACCCTAGGACCGAGAATGCTCCTATCCAGGAGTTTCTGGTAAGTATTGAACAACCTACTCTCAGGAAAATAAAACATCCTTGGTCTATAGTGTATGATTTTTTTCTGTTGTGTCAATATTTCCACCATCTGGATTTGGACAAAAGATACACACAGTCAACTCCAGCAAATGTCTTGTGGGGGTGACATTTGCAATACTTGAGACAGAATGCCAGACACAGGAAAGAGACATGACCAATGCTGTGCCCAATCCCTTTGCCTCAGGTATTGGTCCAAAGGTGGACATGTGACCCAGTTTGGATTAAGAGCTTTATAAAAAATTTAATATTTGAAAGCGGAAAGAATTTCCTTCTTTGCACTTGAATAATGAGCTGTGATATCACAACTTCAGAGCTTCTTGGGCCTTTTTATCCATGCATGTTGTAGAAGAGAAGGAGGCCCTGCAAAGAGTGGGAGGCATGAGAGATGGATGGAGAGAGACAAAGGGAAGGCCGAGGGGAGAGAGAGAGCAAGTGAGCACATTTTAAATATCTTTTACAGCTACATGAGCCAAAATTTCCATTAGTTGCTTAAGTTAACTTGAATTCAGTTTCTCTGACTTACACTTAGTACATATACGCCATACTCAAACAACAGATGAATATTAGAATGATGACTTAGAAGAATCATGATTTATATTTGAAGATTTTTATAGCAATTACCATGAATTTTATTTAAGATTTTTAAAAGGTATTTTTTTGTTTGTTTTTGTTTTTCTGGTTTTTTTTTGGAATGGAATCTTGCTCTGTCACCCAAGCTGGAGTGCAGTGGTGTGATCTTGGCTCACTGCAATCTCCACCCCCCGGGTCAAGTGATTCTCCTGCCTCAGCCTCCTGAGTAGCTGGGACCACAGGTACGTACCGGCCACACCTGGCTAATTTTTTTGTATTTTTAGTAGAGACGGGGTTTCACCATGTTAGCCAGGATGGTCTCAATCTCCTGACTTTGTGATCTGCCTGCCTCAGTCTCCCAAAGTGCTGGGCCACTGCGGCAGGCCAAAAGTTTTTTTCTAATGCGTATGGATTGACTAAGATCACATGCTTTCTATGGCTTTTGAAGCCCCATTGTCCTATTGTCCCTTAAAAGTTAGTGATTTAGTGGACCAAATGGCTCTCTCTCTCTGTCTTTATCTCTTTCCATATAAATGGATTTTTCATCAAAATAAAGACATGCATGTATAAAATCTTTGCAAAACATAATCTCAGGCCCCAATCTGAGTTTGAGACATACTGATTTAGAGCAAGAATGGATAGCAATAATAACTACACTTTATTTCAAAAGGCAAAGACAAAAACAGCCCCCCTTCCTAATACTGTACATAGTATCTTAAGACCCATCTGTTCCCAGGGCTGCTCAGATAGCAGTCTGCTTTGCATGGTGCCTGCTATGGTTTGAATGTGTCACCCAAAGTTCATGTCATGGAAACTTAATTTCCCAATACAATAGTATTGAGAGGTGGGACCTTACTGTAAGAGGCTCTGCCTTCATGAATGAATTAATGTCATTATCGTTGGAGTGGGTTTGTTACCAAAGTGAGTTTGACCTCCTCTTGCTCTCTCAAACTCTCTTGCTCTTCCACCTCCCACCATGGGATGAGAGCACTAAGGCCCTCTCCAGATGGTGACCTCTGGATCTTGGACAGCTCAGCCTCCAGAATAATAATAAATAAGTCTCTGTGTTTATAAATTACCCAGTCTCAGGTATTCTGTTATAGTAGCCCAAAATAGACTTAGTGCCAGAATCAGTTAGATTTGTTATACAATTAGTTAGATTTATCATTCTAAAAATTTTCATAAATGTCTCGTGTATATTTTTGTTTATGAAAGAAGCTGCCATAAGGATCTAGTTATTGAGCCGCTGTCACCTCATGGTTCAGAGCATTGACTGGGTTTGCATCTGCATTTTGGCTCAGCATTGCCTGACTATGTGATCTTGGGAAAGTATTTAACTTTATAAAACTTAATTGTCTCATGTCAAATGGCAATATTTGCATTTTAGAGTGTTCCTATTTTTTGCATCTGCCCTACAAGTCATGATAGCAAATTCTTCTGGAATTTTCCTTCCTCGAACCTGTCATCCACATGGCTACCCTGGAAATTGCCAAGGTGGTTAAAAAAAAAAAAAAAGAGTGAGTTTTCCACTCTCCAGCCTACCCAATTACCGGTACTGGGGCTTTCGCTTTCCTACCACTGCTGTCTGTGGTGGGTCAAATGTCCCATGCTCTGTTTGGGGGCACTTATGAGTGTCCTGCCTAATGATAATGACAGTGCCCATGGAAGTTCTGCTAAGTCTTGAAGCATAGACAGATACTAATATGCTGGACAGTTCACTGCTGAGGTGGAGGCCACTGATGGTGGCAGCTATTATCCGCCCAACAATGACAACAACCACTGAATGGTTTTTCTGCCAAAGTGAGGACGGTTTATTATCCTAGCTTCCACTCTGCTCCCTAGTGCTGGCCACTTAGTGATGATTGGCCATATTTTCATGGTAACTCTTCCCTTTTATCCCTAACTCCCCTGTGATGCTTTAGGTCCGAGGATTCTGCCCTCTTCTGAGGTTTTGGCCCCTTCATTTCCTTTCTTCTCTCTCAGCCCAGGTAACCTTCAACAATTTTCCTTCTAGGGATAGGAGTTGAGGTTATTGTCTTCCCTTTTTAAATTTTAAATTTTTGTTATGCAATTTCTTTGTCCCACTCCCTTCAGGAATTTTCTTTTGAGTCTCAAGAGACTAGTTAGAAAACATTAGAAACAACAACAACAAACCCAACCAACCAACCAGCCAAATAACCAGCAACTAAACCAAACCAACAATGTAAATGTATTTTTTCTTCTCACTTCTCTTGTAGAAAAATGGTAATGCTTCTGTGTTCCTCCGACTTATTGGAGAAAAGGTAAGAGTGCGTGAAAGAAAGTAAAATCAGAAAGACTGACACTTCAAGATCTTCTTTCCTTAATGTAACAGAATCCATCCATGAACACTGTTGGTCTGGTGTTGGATGTCTGAGTTAACTTTGGCCAACTGTGGTTCTTTTCCAGGAATATTAGAATTGCAACTCATAAAGCATAGCCTTTCGATAGGTGTTAAAAATTTAAGATGCAAAAGTTGAGAGTTATTAATGGTCTTGTTTCCTGTCATATACACAGAGAACCAGAGGAAATTCACCTACAGACAAAGAAAGAATAAGGGAGACTTGAAAAGAAGAAGAGAGGTGACAGACACAGTAAGGAACTTCATAGCATTTCTTCTAGAACCTGGTGCTAGTGGTTTCTGGATTTTAACGACATTCTTATTACTGGGTTTTGTGAGTTGCATTTCTGTCACTTGTGACACAGTGTCCTACAACAAATATACCCACTTCACAGGGTTTCTGTAGAGTTTAGGGACAATAAGACCTTTCAGTCTCTTAGTATAATGTCTGGCACTTAATAAGCATACAGAATGTTGCTGTTATTATCACAGTTTGCTTTATGATATCTGACTTGTAGTTACTAACATTTCCTACACTATTCATGTTTGTCCAAGATAAAATTATTTACTCATTTACCATCTGTTTTGTCTACTTTACAGTTAAGGAAACATGCCTATTCTTTATCAACATTACATGCTCTTAGACACCATTACTTACTTAGCACAGTGTCTCATACATAGTAGGCATTATGATGATTTGTTCAATGAATGCATTTGGGATATAATGCGGTAATAATTGTTTAATTTCAGTGACTTCAGAACAAACAAACAAAAATATCACTCCTAACTATTGTCATATATATTGAAGTTAAAACTGACAAGTAGTCAAAAAATTTAATTTTTTCTTGAAAATGCTTGATAAAACTTCTATTGAATAAAGGGTTCTTTGCTTTTGTATTAATTCTGAAAACTGAGCTACTCTTGCAGGTTTGAAATGTTTTTAATAAAATGTCACATATAAGGTGATCACATTCTGAAATTACATTAGCTACCGGAGAAAGAGCAGCTGTACTTGAGATTAGTGTGTTTGGGGCAAAGGTGCAGAATATCATCATTTTACAAAATTTGCTACCTGTCTTTTACTATGCATTCTGTCTTTATATTTTTTAATATAGAGATTTTAAAAGGTAATTCAAAAATGCCCGCTTTTTTTATGATTTATGATAGGGAAATGAGCATTTTTCTGGGAAAGCATGTTAATATTAACTTTTACTGTTGGAGAGAAATGTTGACTTAATAAAGGTGCTTTCCTAATGACTTACCTGGCTTGACATTCTTTTGTGATTTAGTACTATGAAAGTTACACATTACTAATCAATAAGTTTTGTAGCTTTCTCTGCTTCTCCAGTGTGGACACAAAATATCTCTGGAGTGACTTCAAACTTGGCCTTTTTCACTTCCTTTAAAGCAATTCCTCTCAACTTTTATTCTTTCCACTTAATCTTTGTTTGTCTCTCTTTTGGAAAAAAAGATTATCAGGCTGTTACCTAATAAAAGTCTTCAAGAATAAATTGTACAACTGTAAGGAAAAAATCATGTTTGACTTCATCTGAAAACAGATGGAGAAGATCCATAGTTTAAATCATGAAATGGAAGAAAAAGAACTGGCTTTGAAGAAATCAAAGTTTGTTTTGTGCTGTTTTTGTTTGTCGTGGATGCTTTAAGAAGTTACTGAAAGCTAGGACTCCTCTCCCTAGAGGAAACTATAAATCAATACACACAAATTCTTCATGACATTTCAGAGAGTTCACAACATGCTGAAACTCTTCTATGAATTCTGTTAAGAACACTTGCTCTCAAGAAAAACGTGCAAAGAGTAAAGATTATTTAACAGTAACTCACTTGCTTTCCATGAAAATCTGTTTAAATGGTCTTTGTTGTTTTACTTCTGAACTGACTTAATATCAGTTTGCTGAAATACTGAGATACTGAGGGCAGTTTCTGCTTTAAGTCTTTAGAAGATATGTTTTCTGTGAAATACGTGTGCATTCATATTACAAATCCTGAAACTGAGGGAAGCATCTGCTCTGTCTGAAATAGTTCTTACTATAATAGAACATGTTTCATAATTTGGGTGGGGAGAATTGAATTACAAAGAGTTGGCTATATAGGATTAGATGAAAAATTCAGTTTAAGTTCATTAATCATAAGTAAATACACTGAAATGCTCTAAGTATTGTCCTCTAACATCATAAATAAAATTGAGATGACTTACTCTTTATGTAAAACAGTAAGTTAAGAACAAAAAATTGTCTGGGGAAATGTATTACAATTTCTGTCTTAAACATCTCAAAAGTTAAAAGTCTTCTGCTGGTGGCAGTTAGTTCATACATAGTTTGCCAGAGTGTTTAATCCACAGGATCCATTTCAGCCCATCTAACACTATTTGTTTTTAAAAATATGAATGGATACCATAATAGATAATGGCTTTTTGATGCTTTCCTTCACTAGAGTAAGGTTAAAGCAAAAATGTATTTTTTATATATTTCCATAAGATGCCTCTAGCATGGATACTGGTAATAACTAGTATTCTCTGGTGTTACAACATATCATTTCTGCTGAAGTCACTTCCCTATCTCTGTGTATTATCATAGAATTTCAAAATACTCTGTTTCTGTGGACTTTACAGAGGTATAAACAGTTTCTTTTTTAAAATTAAAAAGTTTTAGGCAATACACTGAAACTTGCCTGAAGTATTCCTTTGAAATATTATTTCTTATTTTCTTAGAAGGTAGATACTGTGACTTTAAGGAGAATTTAAGACTGGCATCCTGAAAAATGTGACCAATGAGTGCTATGCTGATGTCAAGCAGCAATAACTCAGATGCTTATGAATGTTTGTATGTCCATCTCAGCCTCCCAGTGGTTTTGGATAAAATTTCTGCATATGATATTAATGGTGACTGATTCTTCAGTACATTTCAATGATCACTCTATGCTGAAATTTAACTATGGGTTACAGGAAAATAATGAAAATATTTTTTCACAGCAAAGACTCTCTTATCACTGTTATGGACAACTGAGACTCAGTCTTGCTGGAACCCTCTGAAAAGCCATGTGAATTGCCACTCAGAATTGTCTCTTGTAGAGACCAAGGGGGAGAAGAATTGAAGAATTACCTACTGACTTCTATTCCCTATTAATGAAGACTCATTCCATGGCTGTTAATCTTTTGAGGTCCAGGTTATATATGCATGTGGGAACCATGCCAAGATGCCAGTAATGTAGCAGGGAATATGGCACAGCTGAAGTAAGGAGTTACAAGTTTATACCTCTGTAAAGTCCATTGTAGCATCAATGACTAAAGTAAAAATTAGGCAGAGAGGATATAAAGCAGGCACAAGAAATATTCAATCCCATGACAAAGATTGCCTTCCACCTACCCAATCCCACCAGTAGTATTATTGTTATTAAGATCACCAATATCTTAATATATAGAAATGCCTTATTGAGAAATTTTCACAAATGTTTATAATGTTCTATGCAGAAAGAGTGTAATATCACATTTACTCCTAACTTATGGAACTCAGCACAAAATTTTATTATTTTAAGTTATGTTAGGGGATTGTATATGACCTATATAATCAGAAATGTTATTTTAACTATCAAATCTGCTCATACACTCACGTTAGCAAACATTTATTGAGTTCTCACCTAGTACTAGAGCTATGTAAAGTGCACAGAAACTTTTTAGAGTTTAAAAAGAGTCTTAGAAACAAGAAAATGATCTGGTCTTTGCTTCTGAGGAGCTCAGATAAAACCTATGAGATTTATTGATTGTGAGCAATAGAAATCTGCTGTAACTTAAGGAAAATGTAATTTATGGGAATAACATAAGAGAATCATAGGCTTGAGAACTAGTATAGAAAGAGGCAGCAATCAAGGAATCTCCAGACAGTAGAAAGGGAAACATGGCCTAGTCTCATAGCAAGAGTTATCAGGTCAGCAACTGCCAGTGTGATGGATGATGGATCTCCAACTGTTTCTTTTCTCTTTTTATAACTCAATCAAGATTCAAAGTCTCAGAAGAGAGGGCACAACTTCCCAAGGCTGGATTTGTTTCTTGACTGGCCACATGGGAGAGGAGGCTAGCTTCCTTTGATTTTTTTTTTTTTTTAATAGAAGATGGTCTCTCCCACCCAAGACTATCCACAAGAAAGAAGCAGCAGTTGTGTATTAGTCAGGGTTCTCTAGGACAGAACTAACTGGATAGAGGAATGTATGAAAAGGAGTTTATATATGGAGAGTTGACTCACACAATCACAAGGCGAAGTCCCACGATAGACCATCTGCGAGCTGAGGAGCAAGGAAGCCAGTAGTGGCTCAGTGCGAGTCTCAAAACCTCAAAAGTAGGGAAGCTGACAGTGCAGTCTTCAGTCTGTGGCTGAAGCCTTGAGAGCCCCTGAAAAACCACTGGTGTAAGTCCAAGAGTCCAAAGGCTGAAGAACCTGGAATCTGATGTTCAAGGGCAGGAAGCTTCCAGCTCGGGAGAAAGATGAAGGCTGGAAGACTCAGTCAGCTCATTTCACCTTCTTCCATCTGCTTTTTCTAGCCTCTCCCAGTCCTCTGACTCAAATGTTAATCTCCTCTGGCAACACCCTCATAGATACACCCAGGGACAATACCTTGCATCCTTCAATCCAATCAAGTTGACAATATTAACTATCGCAAGTCCATCCCTTGTCATCTTGAACCCATACACATCTTCTGAAAATTTAATCTCCAAATAAAGACAATAATAAAGTCATAATTACACCTAACATAATACAGCTATCCGTACAACCAGAAGCACACTAATCCTGAACCTAAATGCTATTACACCAAGTTAACAACACCTGAATGCTGATATGAAGTTAACAAATCTTATGTCACATGATAAAGGAAAAAGAAAGGAAATAAAATGAAGAATTTGCTTAGTACAACTGTATACATGCACAAACATATTCTTAACAAAATAGGGAGAAAATATTCATGACAATTACAGTCCTTATTTCTGCAACTGGTCACATGATTGTAGCTGGTATTGATAACTACTTTTTTCTACTACCCATTCTGCATTCCCTATGCCTTCAGCAAGCACCTTGGCTGGTTGTGGTTTTTTACCTGGTGTAGTGACCCAAACCTTCATTCCTGAAGGGTCTGGGCCATTTGTAGTCTTGCCTGAATTGGGTCATGGTAGTTTCCCATTGACCTTAATCACAGAACATGGTAATACTAAGAGATGTCATCAGGGACCTCCTAGGATGT